CGGCGTGTCGTTTTGCTTGAGATCTGGCGTCTGGTGATTGTGGTGATCGCTGTGGCTCGAATGAGTGTGCTTTCCCTGAAGCATAGGCTCGAGTAGATGGGAGAGCATGTGGAAGCATCGACGTGAAGCTGACGCGCATACGCTGATGAGGGTGGATATGCGCAACCTAACGGGCTCTGTATGCTTCTGGACCTTCTTGTACTGCCTGCTGACTCCTGGCGAGAGTATGCGAACAGCAAAGTACGCGTAGCCCGAAAGGGGTGTCTTATATGGACACTGCGAATACCACGCTGGGAGCAGGTTGGTGACGACGTATGCGGTGTAGGCGAGAACGGCGGTAGCGGTGACGATGGATGCGACGACGGAGTCGAGCGTGGATAGTAGGGCAATGAGACCGACGAAGAAAAGGAATAGAGAGAGGTGAAGAAGAGTCGGAAGGAGGCCCACGATCAATGGGACATGCCACTGTTCGATGCCCATGGATCGGAAGTGTCTAACGCGTCCCTGGTGCTGCGGTGTTCCAGATATTGGGGATACGTAGGCTTGGATCCATTGCTTGACCAAAACGGCGAGAAGGGCAGTCGACAGGCTGACGGCGAGACTGACGAAGAACATTCCATTAATCCAACGATCTGTGTTGACGGCGGTGGATGAATCGAGGTTCAAGGAGGATGGTGCGACTTCGTCGGGAGGAGTGCCTGCAGCGATGGACCTTTGTACTGCTATGAGCTCCATCAGGAGAGCAGCGGCAATTTGGCTGTAGTCGGGCTGCAGTGCGAGCCATGTTTGGGAGACGAGAGTTGAGACGATCGCGGAGAATAGACCAGCCTAATGTAACTTTGTTAACCCGAGTCCGTGACGATGCATGAGGAGAATAGAATGCGTACAAACACCAGTATCACGTCTACCGTGTCTCTGAAGTTTTCTACCATATCCATGTCGAATTGGCCAGCTTCATCGAGATATACACGCCATACACGGGCATTGGTAGCCATCCCTTCGCCTTGCTCATCCGCCGGGTACTTTTGTTCATAGTCATACCGATCGCCTGTTCCCGTAGCTGTGACATTGAACGAATACGTGTGAGAAGGGGTTCTTGCTGGTGAGATACTGTGCTCACCGGAAGGGTTCAACCTATTCGCGACTCGATCTTTACGTTTGGTGCCTTTGTGCTTCATCAGCGCAAATACTCTTGTAGAAAGGGTGGTTTTTTCATCTGCGCCTTCAGGCGGAGATTGTTCGACGACACTCCATTCGTCCACAAGGCACTGGAACAGGCCAGCTAGAGCACCGGCATTCGGGGGATCCTGGCTGGGGCGATTTAGATATTGCTCAACTGGACTGGCGGTTACCACGTACCGCTCTACCTCCTTCCGAGTCTGGTCGACGGGCTGGAATTCTTTCATAATTGGATGTAAAGTCTTCGTGGGGTTGGGGCTGGGGCATGGGAAGGGAAGATTGACCAAGGGTCACTGTCTCTCCAGGACCTCGAACCGGTTCGGGCTCTGCGGGCATTGTCGTATGTTGGGGGTCGCGTAACGGGCGTTAGAAGGCAGAAGAGCCCAACTTGTGGAGACGGTCGAATGAACCGTCTTGTTGGCGCTCCTGCGCTGTAAACGGTTGAGGGTTTTACGAAAGTTATAGCGCTGGTGATCTTGCGGGTGTTGATCATCGATGCCCGCGCTGATGATGCACTGGTCGAGCATAGCCCTCTAGATCCTTCTTCGGGTCGACGGTCTCGTGTTTGGCATGTTTGTGTACGGTGTGGTGTGTTAAAACGTTGGTGGATGTTGGAGAGGAGACGTCGTTCACCCTCCGTGCCAGTTCCGGCCCGTGACAGGAGCTCAAGACTCTCGCGCATGCGGGCTTCTCGGACTCCACAGGATTCAGACGCTGCGTACTTTGGGGGACGAATGCGAACTACTACATTGAGTTCATATTATCCTGATATACACGATCCCGTAGAGTACACAAACGAAAAACCGCCCTATCCAAGTACATCCGAGAACGCAAACTAACCCTTCAAGCTCTAGCTCGCAGCAACCCTCTAGCAGATATACTGCCCGTGTCTGCCATGACCCGCCCTCCTGACCGCCCCTTCATGTCCATCTTCGCTCTCACCCCCTGACTGCAACTCCGACAGTTCCACTAGACTAGCTGCATTCTTCTCTGCGTTCTCGATAGCTGTTTTCCGGATATGGACGACGATTCGGGTGCCAAGACAGGATTGTAGGACGCCCTGAAGTCTGCGCATGTCTTTGAGCAGACGTGGATTAGAGAAGGAAATGAACAGGACGCACTGAAAGGGCCATTTGTTGTACTGCGACTAGAATGCGCCGTAAGTATAGGGCGCACTCTGATCTCAGGCACAGAGAACGCACCTCATCTAGGTAGAGCACCAGCACGTTTGCGAGGGCGAAAGCTGTATATATCCTTCGTCAGAAAGAAGACAAAGTTACTCAAGTGGGAGAGTATCACATACCAAAGATATACAAGAAATACATCAACCCATCCTTATACAGCACACCCACAATCGTGTGCCCCTCGTCCCTCATCTTAGAACCTTGCACACGCATAGCGTACTTCATATGACATCGGTCCCGTTCAAAGAACTTCCATCCCGTCAAGACGATGATCACTGCCCCCGAGGATGAAATTCGGTTCAGTTCGCAGCAACACTGAGTGAGGACATACGGAACTCTGTCACTGCGACAAGGATGTACAGGGGTGATAGAGACTTGAAGTTGGCGTTTAGCCTGGTTCCGCAATGGAAGTAGTCTGTAGAAGCGGTTACGCCCCATGGAGGTGCCTGCTCGCGCACTGAACAGAAGTGGATGGGACACTGTAGGAGAATGGACAAGGAAGGAGCCCAACGTACTGCTGAGAGAGTTCGTGAACTTGATGTTCAGCGGTATGGAGGGAATGAACTCCGACTAGAATGCAAGGGCTGCACTTAGCTCGTTCTCATTCTGAAGGTGCACGGACAGTACTCACTGCTAGCATCGCTGCCAACACCCAACCAATCATTCTCGTTCCACGATAGAGCGCGTAGGTCCTTTTGACCTGGATGACTAGAGCAGCATCTGGTCAGGTTTCTTGAGGACTACGTCGTCACGATAGCACTCACTCTGACAACACAGAATCGAGACGGCCATGAACCCTAACAGCTAGTCAGCCCTGAGAAGACGAATATGAAGATAGGGAGGTACGCACAAAGGTGTGCAAATGAGAGCCCTATGCAGACAGCGTCCTATACATTGTCATTCCGGGTTAGACCCTTTCCGCCGTATTCAGCTCGGGCACGCACCCCGGGGTAGCTTCGTGCATGGTACGCTGGAGGCAAGCAAGACAAATCATCAGCAAGGTGATGGAAGCTCGAGTTGAGGATTACGTACCATACACAGTAGCAAGCACACTCCCAAACGGGAGATACCTCCCCGCCATGAATGCCATCTTAAGTGTTGACCATGGCGAGGGCCAGACGTATTCGATCTGGGTCCAACACAAAGTTAGCCAGATGCACGCTTAGACGGACATCGCAGTCACCTCGTCGGGGAGTGTAAGCAAGTAGTCGTAAGACTATGGACGCGTTAGCAGTGCCTCGAGTGTAAGAATAATGAGAACGCTTGCCAGGAAGCAAAGGCTTGCGACTGAAGGAGGAGTGCGCGTAAGTACAGAAGATGCTCTGAAGTTGTTTTGCGCGCTTGAGGCACTTACGTTTCATGAACTGCAATCAGCCAAATACGTCAGCATGAGCAGCAAACGAGAGCAAGACCGTGCAAAACGTACCTGCGCATCCCTCAACTTCGCAGCCCCCGCAATCATCGTGGCAGTGTACAGCTCACCATTCGACATGGGTCGCAAGTCGTCGTCGTCGTTGAAGGAGCAGGTAGATAGTAGTTAGAGACAAGAAGAACGCCAATCACGGGAGGCAGCAGTGACGCAGGATAAATCCTCCAACGCAGGATACATACTTACAGTACTCCATCCGGAGCGCAGAACAGCCGGCCATTCAAAAACTCCTCGCCTCCATCATGATGTTTTGAGCATCTCGTCTCCTGTTTTTCGTCTCCAAGAACTCACCCACGTCAATGGCCGAGCGCTGAATGTCGACAAAGATCTCATTGCGCCCACAAATTGACACGATCCAGAGCTCGACGTCAGCAGCGGTGTACTGCGCGCTCTTGATGCACCTCGGGCTTGGCGGAGATCGCAGTTTGTGGGGCAGATCGCAGGCCCAAAGCCACATGCACTTGACATAAACCATCTGCGGCCTCCTGCCAGAATGATCGTTAAACGGGATAAAGCACCACTCACACCAACAAAGCACGTCTGATGCTCGTCGCTTATTGAGCCTTGGGATTGAGATAGCGCGGTTGCGCGGGTCGGGTGTACCCATACATAGTGCGGACGGTCAATGTAGTGGGAGTGTCGCGCGATCCTGGGAAATAATCGGGCTATATTTTTGTTGCTTGATATACAAAGCGTCTGGGTTCGCAGCTGAGCAAGAGGTAAAGCAAGTATGCATACGTGGTGGACGTGTAGAACAACTCCAAGCCACGGACGTGCTCTGGGGACAGCTTTGGAAGAAATGATGCGCTGACTAAGCAGCTGTGGCACCAACTTTCGTCGCCAACGCCTCGTGCTCTTCGTCGTCGTTCGAATCCTCCGCTGGTCCACAAACCTCTGGAATCACTCCACCACCTTGAGAAAGTACCTGCAACTTATTTTGTGCAAGACACCCTGTGTCAGCCCAATCGCTGCTTGAATTTGGTGCGGGATCAAGGAAACGTCGTACTCTACTCGACATCCATCGTCCCTTTCTTCTTTCTACTCTTTCTACCTCAACCCCTCCGATATCATGGCCAAATATCATCACCATCAGGCCTTCACAGACCCGGATGTCAACGAGAGACGGACGAGAGCCGATGCTTATTAGCCATCCAAAACCTCCAGGTCACACTCTCCCCTCATATTTTGCTGTGGGGCGAAATCTCCATGGCCGCCTGGCGAAATGGCATCGCGTCTGACTACGATTGTGCAGGGTTACCTGTAAATCCGGGATCAGGAGATTGCAGGTTCGACCCCTGCGGTGGTCATAAGAAATTGTAGTACTCACAACGTGGACGGAGATGAGCTTTTTGCAGGTCTACTGCATGGTTTTACTTTTGGAGGCGATAGTTTCAAGATTAATTCGACGATGCATATGGATATAGGAGAGACTTGAGAGGCTCTTGGTGTGGTTGGAGTACGCCGTGCTATCATGCCGCTGGTATGCTCCACGCGGAAGGACACGAGCTCTTTATTATACATCCATCGTTAGTTATCCATCGATTTTGAACGCATGTTCGACCCAGTCTACTTCTCACAGTAGATTGAGGAGCATGACATGCATCCATGTAGTACTAGTTGCAATCGCGTTCCAGCTCAACACACTCCTCGCGATCGAGCGTAAAGAATAGAAGGAATCATAAAAACAAGTCGTAAAGAATATCTACCTACATTTACCAGCATCTACTTCCTCTACAAATACAAAGTCCGAGCGAGGATATCACCTCGCTCCCAATCCTCCCCCGTCGCATGAATCTCTTGACTCTCCAATCTTCCTTCTAGATACCCAGCGCCTCTTAAATCTCCAAAACAGCCCTAACACCCACCACCTCATCATCATCATCCGCAAACAAGTAATTCAACACACCCGCCATTCTAATCCCCGCCTGCGCCAATAACTTCTCAACCACGAAATTCTTCGCGATGTACCCCGTATATTCAGGGGTATCGAGTTCAAGGAGAGGCGGATGGGGTGGGGGGTTTATGAAGCCGTTGGAAGAGAGGGCGTAGGGGCGGGGTATGAAACCTATCTTCTCGCGTGAGATTAGGTTAAGGTCCTCCTCGAGCGAGCTTTTGGAGCACCCGCAATCTTCGTGCTCGTCTTCCGAGTGAGCATGGGAAGAGGAAGGCTGTCCGTTATAAGGCGGCTCATCGAGCTGTTTCGGCCATACAAAGGCGCAGTTCAAAGCGTGGATAGGCTGGGCCCAGGCAAAGGGGCAGATCAGGTCGGTGTCTTCGTCTGAGCCGCCGACCTGGGTACCCATCGTTACCTGGGCGCCTTTTTCATCGGAGTTGACGTTGTTGGAGGTGGAAGTAGCAGGACAATCGAACCACGAGTCGATCTCGCCTTCCCATCGGCCAAGAATACCTTCGTGGATGATTCGCCGGATGTAAGGGTCGTAGATCGCTCCGCGGAGATGGCGCTCGACGGCGGGGAGGGGGAGGGGGACGGTGTAGTTCCTGGGTATGGTGCGGAGGGATTTGGCGATGAGGAGGCCGTCCCACAACGAATGGAGGTCTTATACGAGGTGCGTCGTGAGTATACCAAGTGTACGATGAAAAGGAGGGAAAACGGCACGCACTAGTCTGCCTCCCATCAAACAACACCTTATCTCCGTTCCCTCCTCTATCCCTCCCCGTCAAATGCAGCGGCATATGCACGTCGCCCATGAAATGGACCAAGAACCTCAGCGCCTCGTCCATCACTTCAATATTCGGCCTTGCGCCGTTCTTAACGGAGTATCGCCACCCACTGAGTATCTCCGTGGTGTTTCGTATCCCTCCAAGCACGTTGATATGGTCGCGACCTGCCCATCCAGAGGTGCCGGGGAAGAGGCAGGTAGACGAGGGGTGGTCGCCTACGGCGCCGACGTAGTGGAGGCCAGCGGACCAGCGCTTGCGGAAGCGGATCTTGTCGGCCCAGGCGGCGATAGTCGCTATGTGGCAGGATGGGGCTGCTGCGTCTGAGGAGGAGGGGAACTCGTTGAAGTCAGAGTTCCATGCGAGGATGGTGCAGAGCTGGGGAAGGACGGAGGGGTGGAGATGCATTTGGGCGATGGTTGCTGCTATTTCGTGCCCTGGACGTTGCTCTGAGTTAGTACGGAGCTAGGGATAGTCAAAGGAAGGAAAGGAGACGGACCAGCTGCACCCCACGCCAGTGCACTCTGTGCAGAAGCAGCGACGACCAAGGCAGGTCCTAGGAAAGTGCTCGTCCTCATGGTGTCGTCCTTCAAGCTGGTGTGCTTGTCCTGGTGATGGTGGTAAAGAGCAAAGATCTATCCTCCCTTCAGTACCACACCCACCCGTATAAATATCCCCACTCACCTCTCAACAGAGTACAAAGAAGTGGAGCAAGTTGGGAGCAAGCGTAACAACCCTTTGGGCTCCTTCGGGACAAGGGCTGAGCTCGTTGCCCGTGGCGGTGCTGCTCTATCAATTTGTCCATGTGATTCGGTTGTGGTTATCTTATCGCGGGTGATTGGTCAGCGTAGATCGACCTGCTCCTCTTCCTGCCTCCTCCTCGACGTCCACTTGAGGCCAAGTCATCTTTGCTCAGGAAGATATGCATGCTCAGGACGACGATAGAGGTAGTCGCTGACTACGCGGTCACCGGAGTTACCGCGCTTGCTACTGTTGTTCTCGGGGCATGCGGAGAGACATCAAGCCTCGTTGCAAGCGCTAGCGATGGCAATAACGAGACACGCCAGTCAGAGAAGAGCTGGAGAATCGGAGAAGGAGCATTACTATGAGAAGATACATTGCACTTTCGTGCATCGTGTTATACTTATATATGGCATTGGCCTCTTCACGCAGATCACCTACCGTGGGAGAGGTGGAGGATCTTCTATGTGAAGGTACCGAGAGCCTCTTTGTCACCTGCTTCATTTAACAAAGGCTCCGAGTTCAAATTCACGGTTTCGAAGGGTCATGCTACTTGTACGAGTACTAATATACTGTACCACTTATTTACGCGCAGAACTCTGAAACGCTCGACCTCTACTCGAGGAAACGACTACCATGTGGCGGTGGCTGAAACAGTTGTTTTATCGCAGGCCTGGTTGGTCAGCGAGCGGTTCGACCTTCTCCTCCCCCTTCATCTTGTAGCCAAGCGAGGCTATGTCATCTTCAATGAGGAAGATGCGGCATTCTCCCTGTGAATCCACAGTTGAATTTGGGCTCGCCAAGGTGGCTACCGTCGCTCCGAAAGCTCATTGTCAGGGATGTCAGTGCGCGGCGTCTACCGAAGGAGATCCGCCAGTGAGAGAAGATCGGGGAAGGAATATGACTGTAAGGAGACTCTTGTATCGTGCTTTATTCTTGCTTATATGCAACGAATCCTTCACGCGTAGATCACACAACCTAAACCTACCATAACCAAACTCCCAGCTCGTAAAGACGACTCGGCGGATGCGAGTTTCGTTACAGCCTGCTCTACCAACTTCCTCAGCCCAGTTCTGCCAACGCCTACCGACGACGAACCGAACATCGAAACAGTCATACCGCCGCGAATCTCCATTTCAGACGACTCAGATCCCAGCACAGAATCTAGCCTACTACTATCTGGTAAGAAGCCGCACGACGATGCATACGACGCCGGCTCAGAACACACAACGCTCTCGTTCTTCAATTCCTTCGAGTCTACCTCCAAGTTCATCGCTATTCAGACTCAACGAGCTCCAATTCCGACACCAGATCTGACATCGCCGTTCAGCCCCACCGCCGAGTCGTCTCGCGCTCCGAACAAACCTCCCACGACAGGCGATGAAGATGAATCAATGCTCGATATTACCCTCTTTGCCAGGGCTCATCCTTCTTTCGTAGCTCGGTTGCGGCGGGGAGATGAGCATCCGGACGAGTTCGATTCCTTCTCGATCAGCCTTATCGGCGACTTGAGCCTCACTAGCAACTTGCTCTTCTCTTACGACACTTTCTCGATGCCGAACGGCGGTAGCGTCTTCATCCCGATCCCGAACGATACTCCTCCGGCGCCGAGGAGAGATACATGGCGCGCGTTTTCTGACCACCCTGCGTGTCCTTCCCAGAATGCGCATGTCGGATCTCTCCTCGACGAGTTGCCAGATGTTCAAGAGTCGAGTTCTTTCCTGGGACTCGACGTCTCACTTTCAAGCCCTCCTCGGAACTCGAAACTCCGATTCCCTTCGCCAAGTCTCGAGCTATCTACCTGTCCCTCGCCCATTGCTTTTGTAGACCGTACTCGGCTCGATATCCTTCTTGACTCGGACGATTCCAGTTCTCCCCAAGATACATCGAGGACGCCTAACCTCGCTCTGACGCCCATAATATCCAGTACGCCGCATGCTGACACTGGTCCAGCATCTCCTCGTTCCGTCGGCTTGCTCCTAACGCCAATGGATCGCTGGTCGAACATGGTTCTTGAAGAGGGGTCACTGATACAGGACTGGTCGTTACCAGCACTAGACACGCCGTATGCTGCAAGTTTGAGGTCTGGGGCGGGTCGTGCGCTCAGGGGAGGTGCGTCTGGTCGAGGTGCTCTCGGACCCGGAGATAGGGATCCGTTGGGACTCGGAGGTGGGAATGTGGGAGGGGATGAGGAAGGGGAGGGGGTAGAGATGCGGACGTTTATATTGGGTGGGCAGGTCGATGAGACGCACGATAACGATATTTTTGACGAGACGATCGCAGGTTCACGCTCGGAGCGACCATTCGCTACTCGAAGTGTAGCATTAAGCCTCATCCCACGCCCAGCATCAACCTCGACCTCAAGCCCAGAGCCAACCCTACCTTTAAGTCCACAGTCAGCGTCGACTTCAAGCCCAGACTCAAGCCTGCTCATCCTCGAGACCGACGATGAGGAGGTGGAGGCGTGCACCCTTGGAGCGAGCGAACGTCCGGCGCGGTTGGCGGGGTTCGTTTCCATGGCCATTTCGACGGACATGAGTTTGACTGAGTCGACCTCGACCTCGACTGAGTTGGATGTGCTTAGCACGCAGGACGACAACGCGGTGGTTTCCTTTTCACCTTCGGACGATGCGAATGCTCGCCTTCCTCAACCTATGGCTTTGCCTGTGAACAAACAGGCCCAGTCGTCACCATGCCAGGAATCGTCACCCGCCCCAGCATCATCACCCACCCAAACCATGTCACTCACTCGAGCATCGTCCCCCGCCCAAGCATCGTCTTCATCATCAGCATTCTCCGACGTGGAAGAACAACTCTCGAGGCACGAAATAGCAGACGCGGGCGCAGAAATCAGCTTCATCGCCCTTTCGCCCCTCCGGTGCTCCCA